GGCTGTAGATCCATGTTGCATGCAGCACGCTCTTTCTACTCTTTGGTTTCATGTGAACAATGATCAACTGTTTCAAACAACCGCCTCTGTCCTTTTTACAACCTACACTGGTGTTAGCACAGGTACCATCGCCTGGGTCTTACTGGTGTTAGCACAGGTACCATCGCCTGGGTCTTACTGGTGTTAGCACAGGTACCATCGCCTGGTCTTACTGGTGTTAGCACAGGTACCATCGCCTGGGTCTTACTGGTGTTAGCACAGGTACCATCCCTGGGTCTTACTGGTGTTAGCACAGGTACCATCGCCTGGGTCTTACTGGTGTTAGCACAGGTACCATCGCCTGGGTCTTACTGGTGTTAGCACAGGTACCATCGCCTGGGTCTTACTGGTGTTAGCACAGGTACCATCGCCTTGGTCTTACTGGTGTTAGCACAGGTACCATCGCCTGGGTCTTACTGGTGTTAGCACAGGTACCATCGCCTTGGTCTTACTGGTGTTAGCACAGGTACCATCGCCTGGGTCTTACTGGTGTTAGCACAGGTACCATCGCCTGGGTCTTACACAGTGGGTGTTTAGCACAGGTACCATCTCCTTGGTCTTACTGGTGTTAGCACAGGTACCATCGCCTGGGTCTTACTGGTGTTAGCACAGGTACCATCGCCTGGTCTTACTGGTGTTAGCACAGGTACCATCGCCTGGGTCTTACTGGTGTTAGCACAGGTACCATCGCCTTGGGTCTTACTGGTGTTAGCACAGGTACCATCGCCTGGTCTTACTGGTGTTAGCACAGGTACCATCGCCTGGGTCTTACTGGTGTTAGCACAGGTACCATCGCCTGGTCTTACTGGTGTTAGCACAGGTACCATCGCTGGTCTTACTGGTGTTAGCACAGGTACCATCGCCTGGGTCTTACTGGTGTTAGCACAGGTACCATCGCCTGGTCTTACTGGTGTTAGCACAGGTACCATATCCTTGGTCTTACTGGTGTTAGCACAGGTACCATCGCCTGGGTCTTACTGGTGTCAGCACAGGTACCATCGCCTGGGTCTTACTGGTGTTAGCACAGGTACCATATCCTTGGTCTTACTGGTGTTAGCACAGGTACCATCGCCTGGGTCTTACTGGTGTTAGCACAGGTACCATCGCCTGGGTCTTACTAGTGTTAGCACAGGTACCATCTCCTTGGTCTTACTGGTGTTAGCACAGGTACTATCGCCTGGGTCTTACTGGTGTTAGCACAGGTACCATCGCCTGGTCTTACTGGTGTTAGCACAGGTACCATCGCCTGGGTCTTACTGGTGTTAGCACAGGTACCATCGCCTGGTCTTACTGGTGTTAGCACAGGTACCATCGCCTGGGTCTTACTGGTGTTAGCACAGGTACCATCGCCTGGGTCTTACTGGTGTTAGCACAGGTACCATCGCCTGGGTCTTACTGGTGTTAGCACAGGTACCATATCCTTGGTCTTACTGGTGTTAGCACAGGTACCATCGCCTGGGTCTTACTGGTGTTAGCACAGGTACCATCGCCTGGGTCTTGCTGGTGTTAGCACAGGTACCATCGCCTGGGTCTTACTGGTGTTAGCACAGGTACCATCGCCTGGGTCTTACTGGTGTTAGCACAGGTACCATCGCCTGGGTCTTACTAGTGTTAGCACAGGTACCATCGCCTGGGTCTTACTGGTGTTAGCACAGGTACCATCGCCTGGGTCTTACTGGTGTTAGCACAGGTACCATCGCCTGGGTCTTACTGGTGTTAGCACAGGTACCATCGCCTGGGTCTTACTGGTGTTAGCACAGGTACCATCTCCTTGGTCTTACTGGTGTTAGCACAGGTACCATCTCCTTGGTCTTACTGGTGTTAGCACAGGTACCATCGCCTGGGTCTTACTGGTGTTAGCACAGGTACCATCTCCTTGGTCTTACTGGTGTTAGCACAGGTACCATCGCCTTGGTCTTACTGGTGTTAGCACAGGTACCATCGCCTTGGGTCTTACTGGTGTTAGCACAGGTACCATCGCCTGGGTCTTACTGGTGTTAACACAGGTACCATCGCCTGGGTCTTACTGGTGTTAACACAGGTACCATCGCCTGGTCTTACTGGTGTTAGCACAGGTACCATCGCCTGGGTCTTACTGGTGTTAGCACAGGTACCATCGCCTGGGTCTTACTGGTGTTAGCACAGGTACCATATCTCTTGGTCTTACTGGTGTTAGCACAGGTACCATCGCCTGGGTCTTACTGGTGTTAGCACAGGTACCATCGCCTGGTCTTACTGGTGTTAGCACAGGTACCATCGCCTGGGTCTTACTGGTGTTAGCACAGGTACCATCTCCTGGTCTTACTGGTGTTAGCACAGGTACCATCTCCTTGGTCTTACTGGTGTTAGCACAGGTACCATCGCCTGGTCTTACTGGTGTTAGCACAGGTACTATCGCCTGGGTCTTACTGGTGTTAGCACAGGTACCATCGCCTGGGTCTTACTGGTGTTAGCACAGGTACCATCTCCTGGGTCTTACTGGTGTTAGCACAGGTACCATCGCCTGGGTCTTACTGGTGTTAGCACAGGTACCATCTCCTTGGTCTTACTGGTGTTAGCACAGGTACCATCTCCTGGGTCTTACTGGTGTTAGCACAGGTACCATCGCCTGGGTCTTACTGGTGTTAGCACAGGTACCATATCCTTGGTCTTACTGGTGTTAGCACAGGTACCATCGCCTGGGTCTTACTGGTGTTAGCACAGGTACCATCGCCTGGGTCTTACTGGTGTTAGCACAGGTACCATCGCCTGGGTCTTACTGGTGTTAGCACAGGTACCATCTCCTGGGTCTTACTGGTGTTAGCACAGGTACCATCTCCTTGGTCTTACTGGTGTTAGCACAGGTACTATCGCCTGGGTCTTACTGGTGTTAGCACAGGTACCATCGCCTGGGTCTTACTGGTGTTAGCACAGGTACCATATCCTTGGTCTTACTGGTGTTAGCACAGGTACCATCGCCTGGGTCTTACTGGTGTTAGCACAGGTACCATCGCCTGGGTCTTACTGGTGTTAGCACAGGTACCATTGCCTGGGTCTTACTGGTGTTAGCACAGGTACCATTGCCTGGGTCTTACTGGTGTTAGCACAGGTACCATCTCCTGGGTCTTACTGGTGTTAGCACAGGTACCATCTCCTGGGTCTTACTGGTGTTAGCACAGGTACCATCGCCTGGGTCTTACTGGTGTTAGCACAGGTACCATCGCCTGGGTCTTACTGGTGTTAGCACAGGTACCATCGCCTGAGTCTTACTGGTGTTAGCACAGGTACCATCGCCTGGGTCTTACTGGTGTTAGCACGGGTACCATTTCCTGGGTCTTACTGGTGTTAGCACAGGTACCATCGCCTGGGTCTTACTGGTGTTAGCACAGGTACCATCTCCTGGGTCTTACTGGTGTTAGCACAGGTACCATATCCTTGGTCTTACTGGTGTTAGCACAGGTACCATCTCCTGGGTTTTACTGGTGTTAGCACAGGTACCATCGCCTGAGTCTTACTGGTGTTAGCACAGGTACCATCGCCTGGGTCTTACTGGTGTTAGCACAGGTACCATCTCCTGGGTTTTACTGGTGTTAGCACAGGTACCATCGCCTGAGTCTTACTGGTGTTAGCACAGGTACCATCGCCTGAGTCTTACTGGTGTTAGCACAGGTACCATCGCCTGAGTCTTACTGGTGTTAGCACAGATACTATCGCCTGGGTCTTACTGGTGTTAGCACAGGTACCATCGCCTGGGTCTTACTGGTGTTAGCACAGGTACCATCGCCTGGGTCTTACTGGTGTTAGCACAGGTACCATCTCCTGGGTCTTACTGGTGTTAGCACAGGTACCATCGCCTGGGTCTTACTGGTGTTAGCACAGGTACCATCTCCTTGGTCTTACTGGTGTTAGCACAGGTACCATCTCCTGGGTCTTACTGGTGTTAGCACAGGTACCATCGCCTGGGTCTTACTGGTGTTAGCACAGGTACCATCTCCTTGGTCTTACTGGTGTTAGCACAGGTACCATATCCTTGGTCTTACTGGTGTTAGCACAGGTACCATCTCCTGGGTCTTACTGGTGTTAGCACAGGTACCATCGCCTGGGTCTTACTGGTGTTAGCACAGGTACCATCGCCTGGGTCTTACTGGTGTTAGCACAGGTACCATCGCCTTGGTCTTACTGGTGTTAGCACAGGTACCATCGCCTGGGTCTTACTGGTGTTAGCACAGGTACCATCGCCTGGGTCTTACTGGTGTTAGCACAGGTACCATATCCTTGGTCTTACTGGTGTTAGCACAGGTACCATCGCCTGGGTCTTACTGGTGTTAGCACAGGTACCATCTCCTGGGTCTTACTGGTGTTAGCACAGGTACCATCGCCTGGGTCTTACTGGTGTTAGCACAGGTACCATCGCCTGGGTCTTACTGGTGTTAGCACAGGTACCATCTCCTGGTCTTACTGGTGTTAGCACAGGTACCATCTCCTTGGTCTTACTGGTGTTAGCACAGGTACCATCGCCTGGTCTTACTGGTGTTAGCACAGGTACCATCTCCTTGGTCTTACTGGTGTTAGCACAGGTACCATCGCCTGAGTCTTACTGGTGTTAGCACAGGTACCATCTCCTGGGTCTTACTGGTGTTAGCACAGGTACCATATCCTTGGTCTTACTGGTGTTAGCACAGGTACCATCGCCTGGGTCTTACTGGTGTTAGCACAGGTACCATATCCTTGGTCTTACTGGTGTTAGCACAGGTACCATCTCCTGGGTTTTACTGGTGTTAGCACAGGTACCATATCCTTGGTCTTACTGGTGTTAGCACAGGTACCATCTCCTGGTCTTACTGGTGTTAGCACAGGTACCATCTCCTGGGTCTTACTGGTGTTAGCACAGGTACCATCTCCTTGGTCTTACTGGTGTTAGCACAGGTACCATCGCCTGGGTCTTACTGGTGTTAGCACAGGTACCATCTCCCTGGTCTTAC